AATGGGAAGGAGAAGGAGGAGGTTGAAGAGGGGAAGTGAGCACGGAAGAGGAGGAATATCTTGATTGTTCCCATGTGAAGGAACAAAGTAAAGAAGAAGGAAGGGAGGTTGAAGATGAAGTAGAAGAAGTAAGTGGTGCCCAGGATGAGGAAAAGGTCAAGGTGGATGAAGCATCCACAAGTTACAAGAGCTACCAATGCTTTCCACCGGACCTTGATGCGCTATTTGAGAAGGACCCATTTGCGGCTCTTTGCCAAGCCAAGGCCAAGCCATCGGCGATCCCTCTTGGTGGATGCGATGAAAGTCGATCGAGGTGAAGAAAGAAATTAGCAGAGGTCTCGTGGGTGGAACCTCAAGAAAAATCAAGTTCATGAGCACTCAATCATGGATTCGTCCAAAGCTCGTGACTTGAGACACCACATCGCCGACGAGAACCTCAACTTCAAGGAGGTTCTTGGGTGGACCGAAACTTGAAGAGCAACCGTCCGGCTCACGACGTTAAAGAAGCGCTTGGTGGGAGGCAACCCAACCATCAACGGTGTGTTTTTATTTTGCTTCAATAAGTCGACCTTTTGTTTTTCCACCTCTTTGCTCTTCCGGATCTCACCCGGCCTCCGCTCCCAAACACCAGCATTCACCACTACCCAGTAACATCGTTCTACTTCCCTATTTTACCCCATTGAGGGCAATGTCGAGCTTAAGTGTGGGGGGTAGTCCATTATGTATGTGTGTGTGAATGTTTGGTGTGATTTTGAATGCTTGGAGCCTAGTTGTATGCCCAAATTTTTAAAATTTGAGGGCTCCAAGCACAACAACTTCTACATTTGCGTGATCATAGTGGCACCTTATGGTGATTTGTTTTGAATCTCATGGTTATTAGCATTGTCTATGGATGATTTGCTTGGGATTATGTGCAACCTATGATGATGATTGAGACATATATTAGGTTTGTGCATAGGTTCATTTCTCATGTGTTTGTGAACCGATTAATGTTTTGAATCGATTACTTGCTTTTCAGAGTTGCCTATGCATCGGGTTTAGGGAGTTAGAACGAAAGATTGAGCACCTAGGTAGCCATGTGAGACTTGTGTCGTTCGTTTCTTTCTTGTGCGATAGATCCCCCTTTACATGATGTGTAGTATTCACGTTGTTGCTAGCGAGGAAGATGGAGGCATATATTTAGTCCACGGCCCAAATGTTGACCGACCCGATCATATCATCCCTTAGTCAACCCCTTTGAGCCGTGTGTCTAAGGTTTGGTCTCGTGTTAGGTAGCTCATGCTACTTGAGCTTGATTGATTTAGTTAGAGCAACCTTACTTTCTTTGTGTCTACACCGTATTGAGTCACCCTTGTGTTTGGAAGCTCCATTCATATCATTTAAGCTTAAACAAGGTTCCACATGAGTGATTTATGTATGGTTTTGTTAAGAAGTGAAGTGAGTGTGAAGGTAGTTTTTCAAGTTGAGCATTGTTTCTTAAGTTAAAAAAAACGCGACATGTTTATAGCTCTCTCTAGCCCCCAAGAAAAGAGAAAAAAAGAAGAAAAAAAAAGAGAGATCAATAAGAAGGCAAAGAAGAAAAGAGCGTGACCACAAAAAATATAATAAATGTTGAACCTGCTCTTAGAAGTGTTGCTTAGAAGGCAAGCTTTAGGAACACTTGCATGTTGTTTGCCTACCACACTCTTATGCTTGAAATTGACTAGCAAATGTAAAAAGAAAGTATGTGTGCCATGGTTTGGTGATTGGTTGTAGTTTGGAATTGAGGGTAGTGCGGTTTTTAGCCGATGCTAGTGGTCATTGAGTGTAGGAGAGGGTTCTAATCAAATCCTTAGAACTTTTTGTGGTTTTAGGATGGAAGTGTGGAACCTTATGCTATTTTGCCACCACCCAAAAAGCCTTTTCCCCATGTCCTAGACCCTAGCTAGTCATTTGAACCCGTTTCTAAGACCTCCGGACAAGCTAGCAACGACACCCATCTTGTGAGCTCTACCATTTAGAGGCTACCATCATGGTAAACGGACGTTAGGATTGAGAGTAGGGATGGCAACAAAACCCGAACCCACGGGTACCCACCCGACCCAACCCGGTCAATGCGGGTAAAATCCGTGTTGACGGGTTTTGGGCCGGGTTGGGGTTTAAACCCATTCACTATTCATCGGATTGGGTTGGGTTTGGGTTTAGGTAAACCCGGCCCATGGGTACCCGCCCACACCCATATAATTAATTTTTCGGTATATTTAATATTCTAAACAGCTAATCTTATTTATGTTTGTGGCGACATGTCTAATTTTTTCTTTCTAAGTGTGTAGAATGAAGTTGATGTTATCGAGTGGAGAGTGAAGAAACTTAATTGAAAGGAAGAAGTTTTCAATTAATCATGTTATTTATGGATAATTTGTAATTTGCTTCAATTTTCTTGAGTTTTCTATATTGGCGTTGAACAATTTGTATAGCTAATTTGTGATATGCTTGAATTTTCTAGAATGGTGTTTTATATATGGATAATTTGTATTGAGAGATTGATATTTGACTTTAATTTTGATAAGAACTTGTTATTGTAAATTTTTTACGACAAAACCCGTGGGTACCAATGAACCCGCGGATACCCAGCAGGTTGGGTTGGGTTTGAGTTTTTCAAACCCAATGGGTTTTACCTCGGGTTTTTTTCACGGATAAACCCATGGGTTTGGGTTTGGCAAAACCCAACCAACCCGACCCATTGCCATCCCTAATTGAGAGCGAATGTGCAATCTTTTGCATCAAATGGTCCTGACCCCACTGGCTAAGAGTGAGTGATTCATTCATCATGTTTTGTTCATTACTTCTACCCCGGTGAGGACTTAGGTTGCTCGATCATTCGTTCCTATGATTGGTGAGTCGTCGAGGCATGTTGTGTGTGGGTTCGTGAATAACTTTGATTGGTGAGTCGTCGAGGCATGTTGTGTGTGGGCTCGTGAGTAACTGTGATTGGTGAGTCGTCGAGGGATGTTGTGTGTGGGTTCATGAATAATGTGAGAACTCTTCTTTTGCACAATATTAATACAGTTGAATGTCATTTGTGTTGGTTGTCATGGTTACTTTGTTTTTGTCGATAGGTCGGTGTCAAATAACCATTGTGATTCATTCGTTTGTACCCTATGAAATGCCTCAAAAAATTTGTTGAAAAAGAGAAGTTGCAAGCTTACCTTGTTTTGTACTTGGTTTGCTTGGGGACAAGCAAACGTTCAAGTGTGGGGAGTGATTCGGGTCCAATTGTACACATTTTGCCCCTCATTTCTTGATAGTTTGACTTTGAATTTCATCGTTCCTCAACATATTTCACGCTAGGTTGTTCTTGTTTTGATACATTTCAGGTCCTAGCACGTGTCGAAGGGTCGAGGACGAGTTTGGGAAGATTGGAGGTCAAAAAGCGCAAAAACCGAAGAAAAGTCCAAAGTCACAATCCCCCTGTAACAGTGAAGTGCTGGCGTCCATGAAGCAGTCGCAGTTCATGGTCCAATATTGGAGTTCACGGTCTCCCGAGACCATGAACTGAAACCTCAAATCGTGAACAATGAGGCGTCCAGCGAGGTTCCAGAGGTTACTGACGACCAGGCAGTTCATGGTCTCTAAGACCATGAACTGTAAGCACAAACCATGAACCCCGAAAGTGAAGCGGTGCGTTTTGGCCCACGACACTGAATTCACATACGCGTTTAGGTGTTCACGGCCGTGAACTGGAAGGCCGTGAACTGGGCACGATCTGGGCTTAAATGAGGAGCTGAAAGGAAGGAAGGGAGAGCTTCATTTTGAGGTTAGGTTTTCATTTTTCAGAAGAAAGAGGATTCTAGTGAGAGGTTAGGGTTTCTTCCAGAGTGAGAAATTTCAAATCAAAGGAGGAAGAAGGAGCTTTGGGCTTGTTCCCAGCTAGAGGATTGAAGATTTCTTCATCTCAAGGGTGTCTCAAGCAACAAGGAGGAGAGATTGGCATCACTTCATGGTTCTTTCTTCCCCTTTTGTTGTTTCTCTTCTCTAGCTATGCAATAGCCTACCTACTCACTTGGGTATTGTGAATCCTAGTCTCTCTATGTGTTAGGATGTAGGAACATGAACCTATTGTGTTGATTGAGTGTTTTATATGATATATGAGGTATTATTCATGAATGATTGATTTTGCTAGCTTTAACTCAATATTGGGTAAAATTGACCTAGAGGGTGGAAATCCCCTTTTGGTCCAATAGGAAGCTAGACTTCTTAGCCACTTGGGTAACCTCCTTTAGGTCGATTTAAGACCAAAATCTCAAGTATCGGAGTAGGACCGTGATTCCACCAGGATTGGTCTCTTCGCTGACCGGATTAAGTTCCGAGGGTTTGGTTTGCAATCCTTAGCCGACTAGTCGAGAGGGTTAGGTTTCCTAGCCTATCGTTGTCACCCTTAGTCGAAAGGTTATCAGTGAAGAGGGCTAGGTTTCCTAGTTATGAATCAGAGTCCTTGACCTAACGGTTAAGAGAGCTAGTTCCCCTAACTTATAGTTGTTGATTTTCCTTCATTTGTCGACTAAGGTAGTTTGTTCCTAGCTAGTTGCTCCCATCTGGCGGTGTATGAACACTTCCTTCACACTAGAGCTTTGTTTGTCGCTTCTTAGAATTCTCCTCCATTTACTTTCCTTGCTTGTTTAGTTTGTAGTTTTCTTAATTTTAAACTCAAAACTGTTTTGCTTGATAACAACTTAAGCGATTGTAGTGGTACATGGACCGGCTCGGGTTTGACAATTAAATACTTGTCCTATACTGCACCCTGCTAGAGTTTAAACACTTGGGCCCTAGTCAAGATGAATTCGCGGTGTAGTTTCGTGCGAGTCACACATATTTTGTAAGAAATCAAAATATTAATCACTTGTTTGTTATGGTTAATAATTTGTTCACTTTTTTTAATTATATAATATTAAAATTTGAAATATTGACCGTTTCACAAATATTTTAGTCACGCAACGCAAATAACCATTCCGGCCGTCTGCTGCGGCCGCCGCCCTTTCCCTCCTTCAATCCATCTATAGACCACAATTGTCCTTAACCCAATCCAGACTTGGTGGAGCTCGATATCCACTGGAAAATGAGAAGCTGCTCCTTGCTCCCTAGTGCCTCGGTGTAACTGAACTCTAATCAGCTGCGGGAAACTAGCTCCGAGAATTGTTATTCCGTCTCCTCATTTCCCCGGTGCATTTTCTTTAGTGGTAGGTATGTTCTGCGTTTCCGGTTTCTCTCTTGTGAAACTCCATGATTCTGATTGGACATATTGACTACGTTTGAGCAGCTTCTCGAGCTTCCTCTGCGTCACTTCGGTCCCGTTCGTTCGTTCGTTCTTGTTTGTTTGCTTTCATTTTGAAGTTTGGAGGACAAATAAATTAGTGGATTAGGTTAATAATAATCATGCACGGGTTACTCGCTGTTTTCCCTCACCAGAGTTGTTTACAACCTTCCATTTTCAATCCTCGGCCAGTCTCCAGTGTTCCCCTGATCAAATTGGGAACTGGGTTTCTTAGTCTGAAACTCCAACTGGGTGTCCAAGGTGTGAAATGCGTGAATCCGGGTACTGATAATGCATTTGGTACTGGTAGCGGTGTTGTTGATGAGGCCGGTGATGGAGATGCAGAGGACTGGCAATTGGAGTTCCTTGGAGAGACTGGTCCTTTGGGTCATGAAGTATCCACCATTAGGAAGGCAAACAAAGGATCGATGTTGCTAGAGGGTACAGATGGGATGGATTGGTGTTTGAGGGCGAGGAAGGTTGCCCTCAAATCAATTGAGACAAGGGGATTGAGTGAGAAGATGAGAGATTTGGTTAGTGTGAGGAAAAAGAAGAAGAAGAAGAAGAGCAAGAAAAAAATGGTGAGTCAAAGCAAGAAGATAAATGAGGAATTGGAAGAGGATCTGGACTTGGATGACATAGAAAGCATTCTTGATGATGATACTTCTGATCTTCGAAGAAAGGTTAGTATGATGGCAGGTGGCATGTTTGAAGATAAGAAAGAGAAGTCAATGGAAGAGTTTGTGAATAGGCTGTCTCAGTTTTCTGGGCCTTCTGATCGGAAGAAAGAGGTCAATCTGAATAGAGCAATTGTAGAAGCTCAAACTGCAGATGACGTCTTGGAAGTTACTGCAGAGATGATCATGGCTGTTGGGAAAGGCTTGACCCCTTCACCACTGTCCCCTTTGAATATTTCCACTGCCCTTCACAGAATTGCTAAGAACATGGAAAATGTCTCGATGATCAAAACACATAGGCTTGCCTTTGCAAGGCAAAGAGAGATGTCAATGCTGGTTGGTATTGCCATGACTGCATTGCCCGAATGCTCTGCTCAAGGCATCTCAAACATTTCGTGGGCATTATCCAAGATAGGAGGAGAGCTTCTTTACTTGTCAGAAATGGATAGAGTTGCAGAAGTCGCCTTGACCAAGGTTAATGAGTTCAACTCTCAGAATGTTGCCAATGTTGCTGGTGCGTTTGCGTCGATGCAGCACGCTGCTCCTGATCTCTTTTCAGCATTATCAAAAAGGGCATGTGACATTGCAAGCACTTTCAGGGAGCAGGAGCTTGCCCAGGTATTGTGGGCATATGCTGCATTGTATGAACCTGCTGATCCTTTTCTCGACTCTTTGGACATGGTCTTCAAGGAGACAAACCAGTTTGAGTGGTGCCCAAATTTGGGTTTGTTGGTATCGAATGAAGAGAGCAGCAATAAGAATCCCGAAATGGAGGGAGTTCCAGTGCTGAGATTCAATAGGGACCAGCTAGGAAATATTGCATGGTCGTATGCTGTTCTTGGGCAGTTAGACCGCACTTTTTTTTCTAATGTGTGGAGAACAATGATTCATTTTGAGGACCAAAGAATTTCGGAACAATACAGAGAAGATATCATGTTTGCTTCTCAGGTTCATCTTGCAAATCAATGCCTGAAGCTTGAATATCCCCAACTTCGAATGTCACTTGGACATGAGCTCGAGGAGAGAATTACTCGTGCTGGAAGAACTAAGAGGTTTAACCAGAAGACGACTTCATCTTTTCAGAAGGAAGTTGCTCGCCTCCTCGTCAGCACTGGCCTTGATTGGATCAAAGAATACATTGTGGATGGGTACACTTTGGACGCTGTTGTTCTGGATAGGAAACTTGCTTTGGAGATTGATGGACCAACTCATTTTTCCAGGAATACTGGTAGGTACTTCAGTTTTAACATGCTTCTTCTGATGTAATTACTGAATGATTCTAACACACATAATCATGTTTGCTTTCTGTTTTTCTGCCCCTCTATCAGGAACGCCTTTGGGCCATACCATGCTGAAGCGGCGATACATTGCTGCAGCTGGCTGGAATCTGGTTTCATTATCTCATCAAGAGGTGAGTTTCTAGTTTCCATATTTAAGCCAAACCATGAAGTTAGATTATAGTTCTGCATAAGGTGAAGGGATACACGAACCGCAGAATGCTATGCTATTATGGTTTCCCAGCCTGTTTCTCAGAACGCATGACTGGCCTAGTATTGTTTGTTATCTGGCAGCTTAGTTTAATTGTATGCCAAGTTAGGACCAGACTATTCATTGAGGACCTACTAGGAAGCAATTCTGTTTGTTCAGGTTTAGACTTCTCTTTTACCCGTTCTGTGTATTGACGCTTCTGATTTTGCTGGGATGTGGTTCTGTTGTAGTGGGAGGACCTTCAAGGCGGCTTTGAGCAGCTGGATTATCTCAGGAAAATTCTGGACAGCCACCTAGGGGAGGGCACTTCAAGTTGTCCATGAACCTTTCTGGAAGAGAAACGAGAAAGGAACTGAAAGGGAGGGGCAGCTGGGTTTGTGAATTACATCTGCAGCTTGATGTATGAAAAAACATAATCACTGTAAGCTAATTTTGGAAAACATGATAAGAGTCTTGGTTGAAGTAAATGCACACTTCGGCCTTGTTCCTCGGTCATTAACAATGGTAGAGTGGTGGAATGCAAATTACAGGGATATTACATCAACCAAAATTGAAAACCTCAACAGCTGTAACTGTCGGTCCTCAAAGTTGTTGACACTGGAGCAAATGACGACTTACACTGATACTGCTGAAAGAAATTCATTAACCCACGACCCGTCTAGACATCAAAGCTCATGAAACAAGTTCCATCAGCTAATCTTTTGTTAGCTTTGTTAACTAAAGATGATACAACATGGGAATTGCAGACGACCTTCTTGGCAGGATTTTCAGACTTTGATGGATTCAAACTTCTTTCTTACCGCATCCCAAAAGGCTGGTATGGCAATGTCGTCCGGCACTTGCTTAAATGATGGAAGGTAATTTACATCCACAATGACATGGTCATTGCTGTCTTCCTGAACCTGGAGGTGCACAAGTTCAAAATTTATTCACAGAGATAGATGAATACGAATAAAAACCAAGCACAGTTTAGTCGATGGTGATTAGTGGGAGCTACAGAGATGCTTTACCCAAGTTGACACAGTTTGTATTGGCAAGAAATGACCCTAACTCGATAAAGGGTGAATAATATCAGAGGAGGCAATAGAGATGGAGGATATAAAATGTTTACTTACAACAACATCAAAGCCAAAGACAGTAAGGTGAAGCTTTCTGGTTAACCAATGTGCAGCATCTGTGACTAAATCAATATCAAAGTGGTCCAAAGTGGCCCTGGAGGACTCCCCACCTTGTAAGCTGTCTGTGCTAGTCGGTAATGATTTCAAGCTGGAGAAGGAAACAACTTACGGTGTAAGATTTGTGATTGCAATGATCATTGATGGATAAGGAATCAACAGGGACAAGAAGTTTCAGCTACCTGTTAGAGATTAAAGGTGAACTCCCATTTTCAATTGCCATTTTCGTCAATATATCAGCATTTGGTACAGACCTCTTAACGGCATAGAAAACTTTCTTGCCAATGACATAAATCTTGAACAACGTTGATGAATGGTTTACGTATTCCTGCGGTGCCAATTATTACCTGTTGTAAATATAAAGAGGAAAACCGGACTTCTATAACCCAGAACAAAGTCGCTTTTAATATAGGGAAGGGAACCCATAGATGGTCGCTAAACCAATCATTTATAACTTGCTAAAATGGCAAGCACTATGATACAGTTAATCAATAGCACACTCAAGTGATAAAAATCCAAGATTATCACATTATAAACTACAGTTAGTAGGTCACTTTACGAACAAGAGTCGAATATAATTATTAGATAATAATAAATTAATAGCGTAAGTAGTGCATTAGGGACCTGGTGGAATACTGCAAGGTGCACCGTAAGTACCATGCACCTTTCCTTTCTCCCGAGACTTTTCAAATCTACCTACGTCGCACGGCTGGCGATTACCCAAGTTCCAGCTTTCAACGTAGTTTTAACCTTGTCCCTTCTCCAGCTGAAATCAAATTTGTACTCCAAGATTTTACTTGGTCAATCAAGTGGCGATTGGCCAAGTTGAATTCTATCCTATCCGCCTAGTCTACTCCCATCGTCGCTCTTCCTGTCTTCCCATTGGCCTCTGACTCTGAGATTTTCCTTTGTCAATCGAATGGCGATTGGCCAAGTTGAATTCTAACCGCTCCCATCGCCACTCTTCCTTCCTGACTTCCAATTGGCGGCCGAGTCAACTGTATCGTTTCCCTATCAACTCTTCACTAGAGTCTTCAGCTAATTAACCAGTTGTCGCATCGTAGCTTCGTCGATGAAGATTCAAATCCCTGGCAAGAGAAGGGGATCTTAGATTCCTCTAAACTGTTATGAGGACAAAGTGTGTACTCTCAATTCTTATATGTTGTAGTGTTGGTTAAGTTGTTGAATTTATGACATAGCTGAAGGGGAACTCTAATTACAGTGCAGTTGGAAAAAGGCATTTTTTAGTGTGAGTGCTGAAATTGGACAAATGAATGGCAGCTGTAAGTTGAAGATATGCACGCAGAAGTCTACAAATAAGTATTTTGTTCATCCACAATCACAGAGATTCTCCTTTCTCCTCCAATGACGCGATATGGATATTCGTGGATAAGTCATCGCCATTAGACGCCAAAAAGTTGATTTCATTGTGCTAGAATTCCTTGCAAGTTTTAAAATGTGAGTTTCATATTCATATTCATACAAGTCCATCAAAACAACTGTTGTAATATTAGCTTCACTGTTTCAGATTCATGTTATCTGTATGTTATGTGTTGTTTCATTAAACTATCCACAATAATTGAGTTGTATTAGTTTCAGATTCTGCTTCGCTATGGTTGTTATAATATAAAAAGTCGAAGAAAAGCTTCAAAAGCTAGCATTTCACTTTGGATCACTGGAAAACCCCAACTCCAACGGTTTATTAAATGAATGGCAAGAAAAAAGAAAGATATAAGAATTCCACTCCTATTGGTTCTGGATTCTATTCCTGGCCGGGTGGGATCAAATATTACTCACTCGATCTACTTCTAAGGTCCATCATTTTCCTATCCACCAATACATATTATTAAGTTGTAATGCCGAGTACTCCATTCAGAAGGAAGGAATGTTCTTCGATTATTAAAAAACTTCTAACAATATGAAAATCTTCACACGGATTTCAGGTACGTACTAACATATTTTAGAGATGATTAACACTTAATACGTTTGATTTAAAACATATGGTACCCGCCGTAGAGCGCGGGGCCATTACACTAGTTAAATTTAAACTGCTTAAGTCTTGTGACTAAGAAGTCTCAATCAGAGTTTAGAACCAAAAAATATTTACATAACAAAAGCAGCTAGAATGTCCATACTTGCCTGAGCAACTGCTGGTAGAGGAACACTTAGGTTCTTAAAATCTTCAGATTTAAAGACAATCGCCTGGAAATGGAAATTATATTGATAAGAATGATTCTGTTAAATTGGAGAAATGGAGCCACCAACATCCTAGAGCAGTCATTGTTTCAACCAAAATAAACTTGGATAATGAACAACACGTTGGGATCTCTGGTGCCTTTACCAGAATAAGATATAACCTTATAAGCGATGAAGACATCTTCAAAAAAGATGATAAGCATGCAATCCAGACCATGAGTATCGTAAGATCCAGGAAAATATAAAAAGGAAATTATAGTTATCTAATTTCCATACGGTAAATTAGATAACAATCACAACTTCTAGTCGAAGATACTTAACCAACATTGTATAAACCAGCAATAAAAATACGAGGAGACAACTCTCTGCTGCAACAGAAGTCCGGCAGCAACAAAATCAACTCTTACCATGCTATGAGCATCAGCAACACCACAAGCAACTTGGGGTTTCACTATACTTGGGAAGGATAGTTTCGCAGCAGATAGCCTTTGATCCATCTCAGGGTCATTGAAGTCATCAACCTGTACATTTGAACTCAATTCATACTAACCTCAGAACTTCTCTCCATTATTGATTTACAAGATATCAGTTTCCATTTTACTGCATCAAATAGATACCATTTTCAATCAAAACACCTTTAGGAAATTGGGCCCTCTGATGGTGCAGCAGCGTCCTTTGTGAAGATCCTCCAACCCATTCAGAATTTGTTGTATTTTCAGTCGATCCACAACAGGATATATTTTATCAAGTGGATCAATTACACAGCATTCAGCATGCTGCTCCATATATCTGAAATGATGAACGACTTTCAGAGAGTAGTCAGTATCAGAGCATTGATATTGATCACCAAATGTTTTCAAAACAGAAGCAGAACAAAGAGTATAAATCGATGCCAGTTCAAAGTCAGAAGGAATTTGCATGATGGCCAATAAGGTAACAGCCAACCAAAGACTGTGAAGCCATATCATGATTCCGATGGAGAAGCCATTTAGGAAAACTACAAGGCATCACATTTGAACTACTCAAATTAGCCTCACAGTCTATTAAGTTACCTTTTTAATTCTTGCACTCCTTTTGTGTAAGTGATAGCATTTGATGATTCTGTGGAGTCACGTAAGTCAACGGAGATGATTTCATCTGTTGCTTTATGCAAAATTATGTCAACATCATCTAATTGAGGTAGCAGGGGTCTCTCAAAAGACAAGCGCTGAAACAGCAATCCGTTTGGGGGTCGTTTGGATAAGAGATTGTATAGAGAGATTTGTGAGAGATTTTAAAACAATCCCTCATTATGCAAGATTTTAAAACAATTCTGCATTTGGAAAATATGAGAGTTTTTGCAATTAGGAATTTTAAAAACTCTCAAATGTAGGTTTTAGAAATAGCTGATGGTGATCAGCTATTTTTAAATCCCTCATTCTTGTTTTATTTTTTCCAACACTTACCCTCCCCCGAACTCGCCACCAGCTCCTGCACCCAATTGCCGGCATAGCTTCTCCGGACAGATCCACTCCTTCCAGCCGATGTTTTGGGCTTGTTCTCCACCGAAAGCAAGTTTCCAGCGTTGTCTCCCCTTCCCGATCCTGCTAGTCGGTCTAAATCCACCAATGGCGAGCGAGGATAACAAAAAAAATGGCGACATATCCATACAGAGCCAGGCTCTCCCGTCACCAAACTCGGAGACAATCTCCTTCTTAAAATACTGGTTCGCCTCCCGAAACCGTAATCTTCCTCCCGCTGCAATACGTCTGCAAGCGGTGGAGTTCATTTCCAACAGAGCTCCTTGATGTTGCTTCAATCGCCGCTTTGTAGCTCACCATCGAAGCATGAACGACGATGGCAACTCCTTTAGGGACTTGCTTTTGTGCGGATTTGAGGCGCCTTACAATATTAATCCGGCCGAATTGCACAAATCGTTCTTGTTCTGCAATTTCATGAATCAATGGAAAAGGTCGATTGATTTGTTGGTCGATTTAAATCTGTCCCCTGCGTTGGCAAACCAGCATCAAAGCCCAAAAAGACCCAGTGACGACTTCATCTTCCAGCGGAGGTCTCATCCTCGTTTTCCGACGCCGAATCTGTCCCACTGCAACAACAAGAGAGGGTTTGGGTTCAAGCAAATCGACTAACCCATTTTGATTTGGGTTTATAGGGATTCAATTTCTGTGTTTGAGAGTTTCAATTTTTGGCTATTGGGGTTCTGGTTCGTGCTAGCTGTTGGGGTTATGCCTCAACCTCCATCGTCGAAACCCGAGTTCTGGATTTGGGTGCTTCTTCCGTCATCGTGGGTA